GCATTTTCACTGCTCGAACCTCCAGCGACCGAGCCGAGCAAATACGAAGTATAGTAGTCCGCCAACTTAACAGTTTCAAGCTGTAGAAAAATTTGTTCTACATGTCTAGTTTCAGTGTTCTCTGGTCAGTAATAAGAGCAAACAGATCAATCACTTCGCTTGCAAATTTTAATTTCTTGTGCAGCTACTGTCTTTTTTTACATTTTAGCGAAAGTGAAATAAGTATATTGGTTTTTTGCAATGTCCGCCTTGCTGTGCGTTTGTCTGCCCGACTGTCCGTCGGTCCGTATAAACGCAGATTATTGCGGCGCTATTGAAGCTAGAAACTTTAAATTTGAAACACATAGTCGTGTATATCTCCGATTTATAAAGTGTTAAAATTTTCTCGATCCGGTCAGATTTACTGTGCCCATACTGCAACTAAGCCCAAGCGAAGTCGCTGCTTACTGCTCAGTTAGCAGAACGCGTTGTTATACGTGCGTGCGGATGCATGTGTATGTATGTATGATTGAATATCATATTGGAGGGTTCAGGGTATCTCTTAATTGAGTAGTCTCGACTAGAGCCTTCCTACTTGTTTAAGACAAAGACTTGATAAAAGCGGATAAAATGAATCTAATCTGTAAAAAACATCAGTGATGTTGTTTAGCCTATTGCTCTTTCTAGCATGAGACCTTCTATCATTTTTATAAATTTAGTTCGACTTTCTGATTCCAAGAACAGCAACAGTAACTATGCAGCTATCCATTCTTTGGTATCCATGGATCAAAACTTTGTGCACAGTTGGGGATATGGGATACCAAGGATAGCTATTCATATAAATTTCAAACGTAATGCTCGGAGGAGATAGCAATTAATATTATATGAAAGTTCCTGATAAATTCACAGTTAAGGTTTAATATATCAGATAACATTCTAGGTTCTGAAAGCGCTAAAGATTACATTTGGGCAAATATCCTTTAACAAAACTAAACAAAACCAAACTGGGCAACTTGGGTAGAAATACTGTTTTCTACTTTTTTTTGATCGATATTATTTTAAATTTTATTAACCATAAACAATTTCACGACGTCTGCTTGGCGATTGTTACTTGCCCATATGTCTAGAAGCTCTGAGCGCTTAAAGTCTCTAATAATAGAGGGTTCAGACAATACCTTTGCATTTAAACTTTATTGCAAAATGCCTCTTTTTGCAAGTTGTATATTTTGTTATTTTTTATCTAAAATACACAGCAGCAAAATATTAAACAATTAGAAAATTGAACAATAGTACTCGAAAACTTTTATTGTCAATTTATGTATTCGGTATACCTACCCTTCATTCAAAAGGAAAGGGGTCGTCGCGAACAAATTTCAATTTTTGTGCGTTACTGTAATGAATGATTTGAGTGATCATAGAGGTAGAGAGAAGAGGTAGAGTGAGAGAGAGTAGGACAAACAGCGCATAGACTAAATTGCTAATGGGGTGTGAATGAGTATTCCGCAGTTGGTAACGTCCGACTGCAACTTTCTTTCTTGTTTGTTTGTATATACATAAGTACAAAATATTTCCTAGAAATAATGGATATGGCAATGAAACAGTTGCCGGGTCAGCTGGTATATATAATATTATGAAACTTAAATTAAAAGTAAATGTTTTTCTTTTATAATTTAGAAGGAAATTCGACAAAAATTTGGCCAAGTTTCAGGGTGATTTGCAGAAGTACAACAAGAGTACGGTGAATGTAGTGTGACACTGTACATATGTACATATGTATATACTCTACATACATATGTAAATGTATATATATGATACATACGTATATATGAATGCAGGAACTCCTTGAAAGTCGTCAGATACTTTTTCGTTGCGCCTTTTACTGGTGTCCGTAAAAACAGTGCCAGTACAAGTTTCAAGCTGCACACATTTTGTGTTAATAAACAATGGCAGCTATGTTCTGAAATGCGGTGTTCTAGAGCTTCGAAATATATATATGTATGTATGTACTTCTATTTAGCATGCATAAGCACAATATAATTACATGCTTGCGTTATTCTTTCGTTGCCATTGCATTCCTCTCGGTTGCAATACGATCGCGGCTATAATAATCCTACACGGTTTTATAAGCCTAAGGTACAGTCGGTTTTTGAACGCGTAATAAGGCTGCAAGAAAAGGTTGATTTAGTTGCGATTGCCGATGTTTTACAGCATATTAATAAGCTATGCCATTCTCTTAGTGCTTTTAGTTCCGCGCCCAAAACGCATTCCGCACCACCACTATCTCCATTGAAACTACCCACGTTAGGCGATGGATGTGCGAATCGGATTGAAAAATATTAATATGATATTTTATATGAAACTTTAAAAATATCGATGTATGTATCAATATTATTCGATTTTGTTAATTACTTTTTGCCCACAATATATTTATAATCCGTCCCAAGAAACCAAGAATAATAAGAATACGTTTTTTTTTTAATGAAAAAGACTGCTTAACTTCAGTATTCGGTAGTCAAAAAAACCATATTTCTTGTTTTCATATGCGACGTCATATTTGATATACTTTAAATATATTTTTGATTAAAGTGACGATCTCTGTTCGTCTGTCTGTGTGTCCGATCAGGAAGATATAAGACCAAAAGCCTTTTTTTTAAATGTCTGTGTATATATAGCGCGGATATCGAGCTTAAATCCAAAAGGCCATATATCATCCCTCTATTTTTTTTATTAATTAAAACCATTATCGAAAAGCAGTAAAAAAACGATGTCCTACTCCCGATATTTTTTTATCGATTAAAAAACATTTTGAAAATAAGTTCAGAAGATTTCGGATTCATTTTTGAAATATCAGTTGCCCGAAGGATTCAGGGATCATAGTCGAGCACTCTAGACTTCTATATAAATAATAAAGTGGAAAAATATTTTTGCAAAGGATTTATTTTTAAATTGTTGTTAAGTTTATCACAAGGCTTTCTTTTTAAATATTCTGTTATTATTATTATTATTTTTTTTTTTTTGTTATTTGGTCCTTTTGAAAATGCTGAGATGCGATTTTTGCGTTTTTAGCTAAATTATATACAAAATACCTAGGTGAGTTATTTTTAATTAAGATATCATAGCTTCTAATTTCTTGGTTTTGGGGTTTCAATATATTTAGTTGATATGTTTTAATTAAAATTTTATCCAATTTAATCCTTGTTATGCATAATAAGGTGCAAATAGAGTACAAATATGACATTATTAACACACATTATAAAAAAATAAAAATAAAAAACCGATAAATAATAAGAATACTTAATATGAATTAATAATATTTTAGCTTGTTTTGGTTTAATAGGGTAAATAATCTAAACAGGCTCTACTTGTAAGTATTCGATTAACATATTCCCTGTACTAACCTTTGAAATAATGAAAAAAATACATTTGTACTTACTTAAAGCAAATTTTTCATATTGAAAAGTGATCCCAAAAAGGGCTTTATTTTAAATAATGTTCAAAGTCTAAGTAAAAAATTTAAAGATGGGAACAGACTTAAACAGCCAGTTTGGCAGAAACCTTCAATTAAAAATAAGGAAACATTTATTTAAAAGTATTGTGAAGAACATAAGAATCGTAATTTTTTTTTACAGTTTTCTGAAGCCATTAAAATAATTAGAACAATATTCTTCGGATCATAGCACTCTCATATTTGAGTCTACCGTTATATTTTTAATAATTCTAGTTGCGGTAAAAAAGGATTGAGTGGTATAGAAATAGTTATTGGTAAACTATGGTTATTTACTTATAATGATAAAGTCAATTTTTGTTTTGCTGAGGTTTTATTTTAGACGGAGTTACGTTTTGGTACATACTTTCAGCATAAGTTCTTAAAATCATATTTAAAAAATAAAAAACAATATTTCTACACATATAGAATTTAAATTAATTAAAACATTTTTGTATTATTTTGTGTACTCTGTTCACGAAGTAATAAATTTTGTTACCGCATCATATTAATGCAACATTCTTAAAAGTTAATACAGCCGTACATATATATAGGCTGATGTCAGAGTCAGAGTGGATGCGATGCGGTGCTATAAGCGATAATGATCGCAGCGATCTGCAAAGCGTTGACATGACAGAGTACAAGCTACCTGCGAGTGTTCATGTTTGCATGTAGAGCTTCCTCGCACATTGTTGCTCAATATTATCGCATCGCTTATCGCGGCATTAGCCTAGAATGAAATATTCCATTATTTTCATGGCAGAAAAAGCTTCTAGTTCCCATTAGAATGTCCATAAAAATTGCAATAAAAATGGTTTTAAAAATCATGCAATAGCACCAGGGCTACTGTGAACAGAGTATTAATCAGCCGGTTGCAGCCGACCCATAAGGTTCATTCATTTTATTTTGCATATAATAATGTATCAATTGATTAATTCCTTAGTATATTAAATTTTATACAAAAAATGTGTTTTATTTTAAGTTGTTTATCACTTGTAATTTTTTTTTTCTTTTTTTTTTTCTTCTTTTTTAAAGAGTCAACTAATGTACTTCTAATAATTAATGGTTATTTCATGTTATATTTAATAATAACGTAGGCTTCTATTTATTTATGACCGCGATATTACGAGTATTTACCACATTTGAAGATTACTTAATAATTGTTTTTATTTAGCGCTTGTTAATTGTTGATTTTAGCTTAGCCTTATGAAAATCCCTTATAGTGTACAAAGAAAAATATGAGAAAAATCGCATAGGCTGTTGGAAATGTTATTCTTGCAATCACATCAATCGTCTTAGCCACACGAATAGGATGTGGCGGCTCCTTTTTGCGCATCTGTACAAAACAGGTCTGAGGACAAATAGTATTTGATTAATAATATTAGTTAGCGTTTTTTGTATAGATTACGTATTAATTTTATTTACCTCTGTGGCGCATCCATTATTGACCGAATGGGTACATGGGCTATTACTGCTTCCACATGTGGTACATGCTACAATTTCATTTGGCGCGCTGGCATCGCGTCGTTTTTCACCCTGATATGGGGTATTGAAAGACAAAAAAAGAAAATAATCATTTTGAAAACAACACTTATTAAAGTGAATGCAAGAATATCTAATATTATGCCTTTACAATTTGGCGACTCTAGCATTAAAGATGTAGGAGATTCAATTATATAACTGATTTTCGATAACGTTTTTTATCGATAGCAATAATGGAATGAGTTATCAATTTTTATTGATAAGTTCCATATCGGCGCTATATACACGAACATTTTAAAAAAAGTTCAAGTCTCTAGATCTTATGTCTTCTGAAATCGACGCGTTCATACATACGGACGGACAGACAGACGGACAGGGCAAAATCGACTCAGCTTGTCGCCCTGATCAAGAATATATATACTTTATGGGGTCACGCCTCCTTCTGCCTGTTACATACTTTGAACAAAACCATAATACCCTGATTTCCCATTTTGAATGGGTTCAGGGTATAAAAACAATGTTTGGGTGGCCTTGGTTTTAGGTGCTTACAACTTTATTAAACAAAAAAATGCATACTCACGGGCTGTTTTATTATTATATATCATATATTTCAGGCAGCATTGAATAAATCGGATAATAAATTATGATATTTTGCTTTATTGTTTTTGATTGTATTCTTATTAATTATTATTATTTTATATATACCCTTGCAGATTTGTAATTTATTTCCACATTTATATTGGAGAGCATATAAATGGGGTAGTCGTTTGATTGTATCAAATATCGAAGTTAATATTTTTTAATGAATTGCTTAGTTAAGCGACATAAGAAAAATGTAAATATATTACTTTGTTTTTTAAATCACAACAACAATGAACAGAGGGTAAAATTAAAATGGCTTTCTTGTTTTTACTGTTTACAAAATATTTACCTCTGAAACAACACTTTGGTACTGAAAAGGAAGCCGATTCATAATGGCTCGAAATATTATAGTCAGCGGTCCTTTGCGCTGACAACGCAAGTCTAAAATAAATAAGAAAGCTCTAGTCGAGTGCTCTACTACTGGATCCTCTGAAAAATTCTCTACTACAGCTAATTTTCCGATTTGCCAATCCCTCAATCGATATATACATGTATTCTTTCAATACAGGATACTAAAGGGGATATAGTCCTTTTTTTCAGTTTCTAGCTCTACAACTGTAGAAGATACAGTCTTACCCGCCAAATATCTGGGTAGACAGACAATGTAGGAGCTTTAATTTCGATAAACTTAAAGCAAAAATAATTATGGTTGCATATACGCATCTTCAAATAAATTGCAAGTCGCTTTCTGAAATCGACACATTCACAAATACGTTGTTGACAGATGGTCGGAATGGGCAACGTATTGGGCAACGTTCCTATTTATTTTTAATCAAATTTCGTAGCGTGTGGCTTTACAATTCTATTATTAAAATACTAACTAAACACTATAATTAACTATCTGCTAAAATTGAGATGGGAAGTGTTCCAAACCCGCTTTATATTAATGTGAACTTTCATGTACATCTACAACAAAAATTACTAATATAAATAAATCACAACTCTGCAAGAGTATTTATTAGTCTTCGGTTCAGCAATAATTATTTTTGTTTCTTAAATTAAAGGTGTACATTTTTTAAATTATGGTTTATCCTATATGGCATGAGAATTTTTCTACTAGCTTATAAAGATTATGAATCAATTATGCAATGTGTTATTTAAAAATGATTTAACTTGGTGATTAAAATTGGTATTGCTCAAAATATTTCTTTAAGCATATTAAAAACGTGCTAAATAAAATTTACGAGTGCATGATGCAAGAATTAATAAACAGCCTTTGTTTTATATACTCTCATATCCATCAAAAATGGTTGGTATTATTGTGCAAATTAATGTAATAGGCAAAAGGACACAAAAGCGATCTGTAGATATATTTTTTTTATATATCGACTTTGCGAATTTCACATATACTAGGGTCGTGTATATGTGAAATTATTATGGCAAATTTATAAGCATATGCAGAAGTTGGTCCCATAGCTATTTAATAACCTCCAGAAATATTATCCCCAAATAAAGCTATCGTCTTCTACTACCAAATTTTGTCATACTCTTATCGTTTGCCAATTGACTATTAACAAATGCGGTTTGTGTTTTTACCCTATGGCTTAGAAAAGAATACGAAGTTTGTGCTAATTTCCAAGCTAAAATGTTGTTCATGACTTTCATAATACACTGACTAGCATTATTTAGAAAACTAAAAATTTAATATAGTTTACCAATGGTTTTTTCATAAATATACATATATTGTCATAATATTCGACATATGTTATAAAATTTCAAAAAACAGACTTTGCTTTTCATTAGAGAAATATGATTAGATTTTTATATACAAATTTATCTGTTATAATTATTTTTGATTTTTATTTTTGATTTTACAAAAATTGCAATAAAAGTTGATCCTTTTTCTGAATTTACCTTAAAAAAATAACTTATGTGTGTGGATTCTTTTGAGCCTCAATTTTGTTAAATTCATAATTCTTATTCGCTGTCCCTGCATTCTCATTAATATGTTAAACTGAATCCTTCTATATATATATATATATATATATATATATATATATATATATATATATATAT